CTGCTTAGGAAGTCTGCGACCCCTGTCTGCAGGACAGGGAGTTCTCTGCACTAAATTCACGGGCTTTGCACCTCAGAGTTTCTAACCTCAACTCTTCCTGTACCCTCAGCAAGTGTCCCAAGGATGCTTCAGGGACCCCAACTGTCTGAGCTGTCTTTGTAGCCTCCTGCCACTTGCAGAGTGTCAACCTCCAGCCAAGCAGTGCACCTGATTGGTAACCTTGGTGTAGCCTACACTCTACCTACAATGGAAATTGAGGTGTGATAGGGTCAGGTTGATTTTAGGTAGATTGGCCAAGCTCCAGTTTCTGCGGTGCTTCACTATGGGCCCCTGTTTGTCCAGGCTGGGCAGTTGAGTGAGTGGGACGTTGTGGGGCCCCTATCAAGAAAGGTGGTGCTGGGGCTTAGTCATTCCGTGCAGTGTGAGCAGCTATTCAAGTCCTCTTCCTGTTCCACTTCCAGTCTAGCTCCCTACTAATGCACCTGGGAAAGCAGCAGATGGCTCAAGTGCTTGGGCCCCTGCACTCACGTGGGAGACCAGGAAGAAGCTGATTTTGGATCAGCTCCGCTCTGGCTGCTGTGGCCATTTGGGGAGTGCACCAGAGGATAGAAAATGTGTGTTTGGCTTCTCTCTTTCTGTCTTTCATATCCATAAAATAAATCTTTAAAGAAGAGAAAAATAGCTATGACTGTCACCTTCACTTTGAAAGAGAGGAGCCCTTCCTATGGGGAGCCCTCTAAGCAACTCAGCCTCCCACCCTGGGCTCAGCTTTAGGCGTTCCAGCCCTGAGTCAAGGGAACCAGGGCAGTTGCCCCAGCCCAGCCCCTCAGTACTGGTCCCTGTTATTTCCTCATCCTCTGCCCCATGGAGCAGGTGTGTGAGAAGAGCACTGCAGTCTACACTGTAGACAGTGGCTGTGGACACACATTCAAGCAGGAAGACAGACAATGAAATCACACAGATGAGAGGTTCTGTTGGATTGTGATAGATATGAGAGAAGAGGCTTGTCTATGACAGAGGTAGGCAGCTAGGGTGGCGAAGGAAGGTCCCCCCCATCCAGATGAGATGATCCTCAATGCTAGAGTTAAGGAAGACTCTTTCTTCAGGCTTTTCTTTCTCTCAAGTGCACAGACTCCCCATTCCTAGATGGGGAAAATTTGGAGGGAAAAATGGATGCACCTGCTGGGGCTTGAAGGTACAGGATGCAGCAGACTGCCACTGACTGCCACGGCGAAAGGACACAGTGAAGAGATTGTACAGCAACATTCCCTGGTGTTATATAACCTGCGCCCGCAAAAGGTAGCTTACCAGTCGAACAGGTAACCTGGAGAGCAGAAGCGGGGTGGGACCAGGGCTAAGCTGAGTGCCCTCCCAGCGGCCAGCAGCAAGTTGGAAGATGCACGCACTGGTGCCAAGGAATTTCACAGGAGAGTCTTGGCTGTCACTATGGATGGATGCGTGAACCCATGGCTGAGCCCATGGAGACCTCCAGCCACACTTGCCGGCATGGCATCCTCCCTTGGAAAGGTGTGTTGGGAGAGGCGCTCAGTGCAGGTGTGTTTGTCCCAGGTCATTCTTTCCAGCAGTGTGCCCAGAGCGCTGTTGCAGAGTGGCTGCAGGCAGTTCCTCACTAACAGGCATGTGTGCCTACACTTCCCCTGGTCCATCTGCAAAGTCAAATGCAGAGGCTGGGAGATCCTGATTCCATGCTTGTAGGACCTCCATAGGACCAGAGAGATTCTGGCTGAGGGTCTGAATCCCCAGGTGGCCAGGAAAAGGTTGAATAACAAGGCAGTTAATTAAGCAGGGAATACAGACTCAGGGTGGGGAGGTGGTGAGAGGCCTCAGCGGAAAGCTTCCTGGAAGGAGACCATGGCAGGGAGTGCACCTGGCTCACAGGTTCCTACGGTTATTGCATAACTGCTCGCGATACTGTAACCACTGGGGAAGCTAAAGTTCACCTCCTCAATCTCCTGAAAGGAATGGAGAAGGGAAGGAGCCGCAGCCACCATCTGGGTGCCCGCAGGCTGCTTTGGCGCTGGGGACTGGAGTCCCCTGCTGGCTTGGAAGCCTTTGACAAAAATGCCTCTCTCTGAGAATGCGTGTCATTCTCTTTCCTCCACGCTCTCAACACCCATTTTACAAGAGCCCCTGACGTGCCATGCCCTGCGGTGAGTAAGCGCTGGCACCCACTCCAAGAGAACGCCCTGTTCTGGGGGCACAGGCTGAGCAAGAGTTGGCATACTACCCATTTTGTTGCTTGGTGCTTGAAAGGGATGTGAGTGGGTGACCAGTTCTCCTTGGCTGGGAAAACAAAGAATCTTGGAACTTCGAGCCGCATGGGGCAGTCAGAAGGAACTGAGGGGTAGAGTCCTACAGCTCGTGCTTTAATAGTTTTTGCTACAAAACACCCAGGAAGCTGTCCTGAGGGGGATACTGACACAGGAGGTTGACCTGCGCACCTGGTCAGACAAACAGCCTAGCAGACAACTAAGAGGTTCCAGAGGTAGGCAAGTGGATGCATCCACCTGGTAAAGAGGAAGACAGGAAGACTTCCTGGAGGAATGTACTCTAGCTGCAACTCAAAATCATCAACCTAATACAAAATTTACACTGGGGAAATCTAGGTAGAGCCGTACACCTGTGCTATGGTGCACAGGTGAGATTTTGGCAGCTTTTGGGATTAGAAGGAAACCTGGCAAAAAGGCTCAATTGCTAAACCCTCATCCTGCAAGCGCCAGGAGCCTATATGGGCGCTGGTGTGCGTCCTGGCTGCTCCACTTCCCATCCAGCTCTCTGTGGTCTGGGAAAGCAGTAGAGACTGACCCAAAGCCTTGGGACCCTGCACCCATGTGGGAGACCCAGAAGAAGCTCCTGCCACCTGATCAGCTCAGCTCTGGCCATTTCGGCCACTTGGGGAATGAACCAGTGCGTGGAAGGAAGTCTTTCTGTGTCTCCTTCTCTGTATATTTACCTTTCCAGTATAAGTACGTAAAAATAAATCTCTTTTGGAAAATGTTTTTTTTTTTTTTAAATTAAGGAACCTGGACTGCCAAGAAGAGTTTAGGATGACGGTAGGCTCACTCACCTGGCTGCTAAAAGCTAGTAGAAAATAATTTGGTTTCTTGGAGACTTGGTCTACCTCTGTGCAACACAGGCATGGCCACGTTGGGAAGATTTCCAATGCAGTGGGCACTCAACAAACAGACCTTCCCATGGTCTGGTTCCGCGTGCTGGCCGGAGACCTCGTTCCTACTGGGCGGAGGGGGGGAGGGGTCTTGGGCCTGCCTGCCCCTGGCTCGGGTTGAGGAATATCTTTATTAACGAGCACTTCAAGGTAAGCGGGTGATGGAAACCAGATGTGGCAGCGCGCACTTAGCAGGAGAGCAAGGACTAGAGATACCAAAGGGTGGGGTGGGGCCAGAAACAGCCCGAATGGGTTGGGGGAATTTGGGGGGGGGGGTGGTCCCTTAGGTGCAGAAGGTTGCCGGTCACATTTCTGGTTCCGAGAGCTCAGCTGCGGCACCCCTTGTCCCAGCCTTCCTGCTAAGCTTCGTGCCCTGCCTGCGGGCTTTAGCACTGCGGTGGAAGGAGAGGACTCCAAGTAGCAATCGCCTCTCCCACGTCCTCGGGGTATTAACCTCAGCGTCGGTTCACGACTGCAGCCGCTCCTTCCGCCCCGAGTGACCTCGGCCAGGTGAGAGTTCCCTGAGCTAAAACACGGCTCGTGGGAAAATCGAGGGCCCCAATAAAGCCACTCCCGCGCCTGGCCATTTGTGTAGGAAGCTCCACACTGTGCTAAGAATTCGTCGCTCTCTGAGGTCCCCTCTTAGAAGCCCTGAGGAGATCGTCGGCGGGCAAATCGGAGCCCAGCCTAGCTCAGCCTCTGCTTTTCGCAGAGACCACCTCGCCATTTCGCCGCTGCTGCCCCGCAATCATTGAGCTGGTGAGAGAGCGACGTTCCGATCGGGCAACGGGGGATAGGGGAAGATCCTCCGGAGTCCTCTCTCCCCGCCGCACTTGTGCCTGGAAATCTTCCCTGGGGTGAGCGCAGACTCCGGGAGTGCAGGCAGGGTTGGGAAGGAGCTGCGCTCCTAAATTGCCCGAGCCAGGCCCAGCAGAGGCTGGGCGCACGCAGACCCGGCTGCGCTGCAGCCAGCACCGCAACAGGGAAGGGAAAGAATTAACAAGACGGTGCCCCGGGCAACTCCCGGTGTCTGGGTCTGTGTGTGTGGGTGTGGCGCCTGGACTAGGGCAGACCGGTTGGAAACCAAGAGAAACCTGCGGGAAACCTGCTGGAAACCTGCGGGAAGGCCCGCGGCTGCGCCAATTGCGCGTGCAAGACTCCAAACCCTCGCCAGCAAGAGTTGGCCCACTTCCCAGAGGTCCAATCCCTTTAGGGTCTCCCCCGCCCCTTTTACCTGTCATGAAAATTTGCATTCCCTCATCCTCAAGGCCGGAACCCCGACAACCCACTAATTCGCCGCCAAACCTCGGGAATCCCTGGGGTCCTGGCACCTCCTCATCCCTGCCTAGACTGGGAAGGCCCTGGGGCGCCTCCGGATTGTCTAGCCCCGCCGGCGAGTTTGAAACATCTCCGTAGACGGTGAAAGGAGGGGCCGAAGCCGGAGGAAAGAGAATAGGAAGGGGGAGGGGGAAGAAGGAGGAGGAGAGTAGGAGCGAGTCAAGAAAAAAAAAATCTTTTTTTTTCCGCCTCAAAAACCTTAAGAGGGTTTGGGAGATCTGGTCAACTTTCCGAAACATCTGAATCTTTTTACAGCCTTCGGTTCTTTCCCTGGACCAGCTGTGGGAAGGGAGGGAGAGAGAGGGAGAGAGAGAGAGAGAGAGAAAGAGAGAGAGAGAGCGAGAGAGAGGCAGGCTGGCGTGGAGGAAGAGGAGGAGGGATCCAGTGAGCGAGCGAGCGAGCAGGCCGGGCGTGGAGCTAGCAGCCACCACCTCCTCGCCTCTCCAAACTCGGGGCCCCGCGCGCGGCGGCGTCCTCGCGCCCCCGCTCGCGCCCCCGCCCCGCGCCCGCGCCAGCCAGGCATGAACGCGGAGACGTGCGTCTCTTACTGCGAGTCGCCAGCCGCTGCCATGGACGCCTACTACAGCCCGGTGTCGCAGAGTCGGGAGGGCTCGTCGCCTTTCAGGGCATTCCCGGGCGGCGACAAGTTCGGCACCACTTTCCTGTCGGCCGCCACCAAAGGGCAGGCATTCGGGGACGCCAAGAGCCGGACCCGCTACGGCGGCGCAGGGCAGCCACAGCAGCAGGACCTGGCGGCCCCGCTGGAGAGCGGCGCCGGGGCACGGGGCTCTTTTAACAAGTTCCAGCCACAGCCGCCCACCCCGCAGCCCCAGCCGCCGCCACCACCACCGCCTCAGCCACCCGCGCAGCCACCGCATCTTTACTTGCAGCGAGGAGCCTGCAAGACGCCCCCGGACGGCAGCCTCAAACTGCAGGAAAGCGGCAGTGGCCACAACGCGGCCTTGCAGGTCCCCTGCTACGGTGAGTGCACGTGCGTCCCCTGCCACCCCAGCCTGGGGCCGGCGACCCGGAGTGTCTAGGTTTCGGCATCCCGAAACTCGCTGGGTTCGGGAAAATTGGGGGTCGGCGGGCCTGCCGGCGGGAGGCGCAGATCCAGCGGGGGATGACACGAGGATCCACAGCTCCCGTTCGCCTCCTGCGTATCCCCGGCGGCCGGCCACGTTCGTGCAGCATTTGGAGGTCGATTTTCCCGGTCTCTTCTTCGCCGTTTCCTCCCCACCAAAATCATTCCGGCTTACGCTACGGCCGCGGCCGTATTGGTAACGAATGCTTGGTACTGGCTCGAGGCGTGAGCTGGGAAGGAGCCGACGCTCAGCGCTTCGGGCGCGGAGACTTCGGGCGTCCGCCGCCCAGGCTCCCCCATTCTACCCTTAGCACCACAGGTGGAGCCTCGTCGCACAGCGGAGCAAAACGACTGCGGGGGTTCTTAGAAGAGCCGAATCCTGGGTCCCGGGGTCCGGAGTCCCGGGGAGCGCGGCCAGCGAATGTTGAGGGCCAGCAGGCTACGGTTCCCCGTGCGCATCTCCCTCGGGTGACCCTTTGAAGGCTGCCGGCTGTAATGCCGAGCGGACTACGAGGCAGGCAGCCTCGGAGCCCCGGGACCTAGGGCTCCAAGCATCCAGGGCCTGACGTGGGCGCCCGCCCGGGCACCCGCAAAAGCTGACCCGAACGACCTCCAAGCCCTCTAGATCTCGCAGACCGACAGAAATCCTGGGCAGCCCGATCCGCTGCGGAGCCCCAAGACTGTTCAAGGGCAGTGGGAAGCCAGAGCAGGTCGGGAGCCTCGGTGGTCATCCTCACTGGAAACCCCATACCCCTTCTGGACTTAGAGTCCTGAATTAGTCAGTTTGTCCTTCTGAGGTCTGCTGGGCTAAGCCGGTCCTGTCCTGTCCGAGAAGGGAATTTGCCCCGTTCCAGGCCGGATGGGGAAGCCTGGGGAAGGAAGTAGGGCAGACGGAATAGAGAAGACAACTGGGTGGTGGGGATGACCTGAGGAGAGTTTTGAGCTTTTCCCCTTGCTCTTATTCCAACCCTCGTGTATAGGTGATTATTGACAACTAACATTGGTTCTCACACACTTGTCTATACTCATCAGACACACACACACTTTGTACGAGCCAACGTGATCACACACTCATGAGCACACCATGTACTCCCAGACCCACGGAGCACAACTGAAGGCAGATTTTAGGAAGATGAGCGGCTTTCCCCATTTCTCTCTCAGCCGCCCTGGGCTCCATGCAGGTGCCCCTATCATGGCCACTGGCCTCTCCTGAGCCCCGTGCTTCTGGTCTGTGCTGGAGAAGCAGGCCGTGAAGTGGGAAGCAGATTCCCTGAGCTTGGCACAGTCAGGACTGATCGTGTCTTCTCTTTCCCACCGCACCAGAGTTTCCTATTTTAAAGAAATTCACCAAGCGCAACCCCCTGAGCGCAGGCCTGAGCTCTAACCAGGCAGAGAGCCCGGAGGCAGCTTGGAGCCTCTGCCGTAGGAGACATTGAGGTCTAGTCCAGAAGCTCAGGGCTCTTGTCTGCCCCCCCCCCCAGTGCCCTGCTGGGCCCCCACAGCCAGCCTGTGCTCTGCCTCCTCTTGCATTAGCTACAGGGGCTAAGGGATGCAGTGACCACTTGACCCGGGGCTGCTCCTGACCCATGGTGTGACCCCAGAGCCAGTAACTGCTCTAAACCCCTGGTTCCTCTTGGGGATCATTAGAGAGGCTCGTAAAAGCTCCCCCTGTGCCACCCTTATTCTCCTGTCTGTGTGTCCTCCAAGGGCCTCCCCCTGCTCTGAACAGAGCTGTAAGCAGCCACAAGTGGGGAAGAGGCAGCCTCGAAGCAGGACCGGATCCCACGGTACTGCTCCCTAGGACAAACCGACCACCAACAACCAACTGCAAATCGCTTATTTGCCTTTGCCCAGCAGCTGAGTCCCCTGGGGGGAGGGATAGATTTCTGGTCCTTGCTGGAGAACGATTCAGTCCAAGATGGGGAAACTGAGGCATCCCAGGCGAGGAGCTGCCTTTTACAGTGGTGACCCTGTGTTTCTCCGTTGGCTCTGTAAACTGCAGGGCGAGTCGGGCACACACACTGACAAAGGGGTCTCTTCCGGGCTGCGAGAACTTGCAAAGGGCCAAAGTGTAGCACAAGGAAGAGTCTTTGGATGTTTCCAGAAGTGCGGGGAGAGGCAGGGAGGTGAGGGGCTAGGCCTGTCTCTGTTGATGGCGGCGCTGCTGCTGCCGCCGCTGGAGATTTAGAGATGGGGCCAGACCCCAAGGAGTTGCTATGCTAGAAGAGCTACCCTGAGGCCTCTGCCTGCCTTCGCCTCAGCTTAGGGCGCTCCTTCCGTGTGACCCTGGATGAAGGAGGTGCGGGGTCAGGGGCTGCGCCAGGACCCAGGAGTGAGTTTGTCTCGGGGTCTTTTCTGAGTTTGCGGAAAGAACCGAAAGAGAAGAGAGCTCGCGCGCTCTCTCTGAGTACAGCAACCAAGGTGATTGCATTGTCTGCCCTGGGCACCTCACATTTATGATATAATGAAGGAAAGAGCCCTGATCCTTCCGCTGCTGTGGTCAGTCCCCAACCCCTGCAAGCTCCCACCAGGCTTGGTGACTGAAGCCCAGAGCGCGCTGCTTGGGCCTGGGACACTCGGTCAGAAACCCGACGTTTCTCGGCTACACCAGAGAACTTGTCTTTCGGTGCTCCGGTGTCAGGCTCGCACCTTCGGCCACCACTCCCTCCTGGAACAGCAGTCTGGAGAACCAGGCCTTACTGCTGTGTCCAAGGGCGCTGGGCAGTTGTGGGGAAAACTGCCCTGCATCCTCCTCTTTCGCTTTCGATTCAGCGCACACAGGTTTTCTCCCCGCTGTCTACCCACCCACCTGCACCAAACTCGGCATCCAGCATGCTCGGCACCCAGGTCTAAGGCGATGCCAGGACGGCCAGGGCACAACCCTAGGGGCGCCACTGTGGGCTGGGTCTGGAGATTTCGTATTAAACGTAAAGGTTGATGGCCGGCATTGTTTGTTGCTTCCGAGTGACAAAAACCAATGAGACTTCCAGGAGTGTGTGTAAATTTCATTCAAAGACCAAGGTGGATTTTCCTGTTTTGAAAGACTGAAAGAGAGGAGAAATTAGCCTGAAGAAATGGGGGAGGAGATGAGGCTAGAAAGGTCAAGGGCTGGCGGGTGACCACGATTATACCTTTGGGGAAGTTGGCAGACTGGGAACTGAGGGGTGGTCCTGAAAAGGTGACCCCAGGCAGGTTTGGGAGAAAGGGGGCATCTTCTAGATGCTGTAACTTTTTGTTTTATTTTGTTAGTTTTGGTAGCTTCCCGCTTGCTGCACAAGACCAGCTTATAATCAGACCCGTGAGGTTAAATAGGAAAGTAAAAGGCTTGGGTTGCAAATCTGGTATTTGGAGCTTGGCGGTAGGTGAACAGGAATACAACCAACACGGGATCGAGACAGATTTTTTTGTTGTTGTTTGTATTGTGAATGCGCAGGAAAACTTCGGGAGGTGAGAGTGATTTTGTAAGTTGCTTTAAGAATATTTCGAAAGGGACTTGGGGATCCGTGGTGTTCTGTTGTATTCCCAGCAGGTGTTGTTTTCTTGATCCCGTGAATGACCTGGACACTCCGGAGTTTTCTTAGAGGTGATTCAAAGGCAAGGTACAATGAGGGGAGACTCTCCCCTCCCTGCCAGACTTCCCGTACCCAGAGCTGGGTGCATATTGCACCCAGGATTCGGTTCACGCGGGAGGAAAACAAAACTAGAGACCCTCACCAAAATCCCCAAAGACTTGGGTTTCAGAGGCCAGCTGGGGGGCTTCCTCCACCCCAGCTACCTTTGCTCGGTGGCCTCAGCCCGCCTCTCTTCGCCAAGATTTGTGCCATGTTTTGTCTCCGTGCTAAACTGAAATGTGCGCTGGCGAGGCACTGACCCTTCTAGTGACCAGGACGACCGGGTGTCCTCGCACAAGTTCCGCTAGAGTTGGGGCGTTTTCGCTGACCGCTGGTGGTGGGGCGGGGGACAAGTCAGGGAAAGGAGCTGCCCAGAGCTTCCACAGCTCTGTGGGCTTAGCTGCAGGGTGCAGGGGTGGCGCCGAGAAAGGCGAGTTGGGTGGGCGGAAGAGCGTGAGCAGACCAGACGCTGGCTGGGAGAGTTCAGAAACACCCGCACCTTCAACGTCCTCAGCAGAGAAAAAAAATCTGTCCTAAAAAACGAAAGACCTTGGCCCACCTGGCTGCTGATGGGGGGTGAGGAGAGTGCTCTCTGGCATCCAGATGCCACCTGCCTGGAACCACCTGGCTGTGTGTGTCCGCAGCAGCCACGTTGTCCAGGCGGCGTGGCGAGACACCTTTGTACAGATGGCCTGGGAAGTCAAGGCTGCGAGCACTGTCCTTTGAATCCTGCGTGGATGTTGCTGGCTTCCTGGATGCGGAGGTCGTGTGCCTTTGGCTAATTTGGCCTCAGAGAGAAGGGACATTTCTTGCAAACAGGGTTCTTGGATTGAAGGAAGCTGTGCCTCTCTCCAGCGAGCCAGCATTCCCAGCTCCAGCCATCCACCATAGCTGAGCTTTCCCATAGCCTCCAGGAATGCTCGCCCAGAGGTGCCCATGGACCTGCGTGTCCGGGAGTGTCCATTGCCCTTCACCAGAGCCAGTTTGGAGGTTCAGAGTAGCCCGCAAGGGCTTAAGCCGCTGAGATGGCAAAAATGCAAAGAAGTGGCCAGACCTCCAGCGCCCTCCGGAAGGAAGGTGGGTGCGGGCACCAGACTTCCCCGGCTTCAGTCTTTCTGTCTGATCTTAGCAAAGACCTGTTCCGTCCCACTCCGCAGCTGCCGACAGGCAGGAATTGAGACTCAGCAGGAGAAAGGAGAGGCCAGTGAAGGAGTGAAGAATGGCGGTGGTGATGGGGTGGGGAGTCGGCCGGCTGGGAAGTGAGATGGCCATGCCAGGTTGGAAGC